TTAAGTTGCTACAGTTATTCACAACAACTAAGCAAATTGAAGTACAATGGCTAAAGTGGTTGTACTGTTGTTAAGGATAAAACGACTTAAAGCTTTCAAGATGACCCATCAATCAGGGTTTTATTTGTCACGCAGTGTAAGTAGAGAGTAGCGTTACTCACTTGTCGTACGATTCCATAGCGACGACCCACTTGCACAAGCCCTCAGCAGCAGTGGATGCTGTTTTAATCTTATCAGGATCAAACTCCGGGTTTGATGTGTATTTTTGTCGGATTGTCTTGATGATTGCTGGTGGAATGTTATCTTTGTCATAGCTTTGTAGAGACTTTAAGAAGTTCATGTCACCAAGCAATCTCTTTGAAGGTCCCCAGAACTCCTCGATTTTCTTGCCTATAAACAAAACCAACGTCAGTTCATGTTGTGGCCTATTTTTCCTCCCCATCAACGCCTTACAAATAAGTGAGAAAAGATAACAGCACATACAACAGTAAAATCAGCAGTCATAAGTAAATATTGCTTCTGCATTACCTGACCCGAGGGATTCGAAAGGAATAGTACGGGTTACCACCTGCACCCAAGGGATTCGAGATCAATAGTATTTGTACCAGCTAGCTTCATATTACCTGAACCCGAGGGATCCGGAATCCTTTCAGGTTTGATGCCCTTCAAAATACAAATAGCTTCCATGACAAGTTTGACGCCAGCTGGAGGCTGCTTCATAGTTTTCATCACCGTAATGTCCTGCAGAGAAACAACACTGAATTATCAGAAGAGCGATCAAACCCCCTTTACTTACAGAGACAGCATCAACAAACAGCATAAGAACAGAAGTGAAAGGTGCAGCAGTAGACTCTTACCGCTGGCGTGAGTGTATTGAGAGCAGCAAGGGCAGCCTCCAGGATAGGAATGGCTTCACCCAGGTCCTTATCGCATTCATCTTTTATTGCTTGAGCTGCTGCAGCTTGCTTGTTTGCGACTGCCTCGTCTGCTTTCACCACCTATACACGATAAACACAAACAATGGGACAACAACCCCTGAAACAATTCACAGGCCAACATTGGAGGCATAATGTACATCCTAAATAATTATGGAGATGTTTGGAGAAAGTTAATAATGTTCTTGATGTTTACGTGTGTCCTTCAGCGACATTAACTGTTGTTTACCTTTTCTTTCTTGGCAACCTCCACCGAGTCTTTCTCGATTATGACCATGATCTCGTCGACTTCCTTGCCAGCTTGTATGAGCTGTGGCTGGAGAGCTTCCAATTCAGCCTGCATTGCTGATACCTGACAGATCACAAGAAGATCGCCCATCAATATGTTTACATTGCAACATGCAAAACTCAATGCAGTTGTTACCTGTGACTGAGCCGACTGCAGCTTCTCCAGACCAGTCTCGTATCTCTTCTTTGCTTTCATCACATCTCTGAAAAGAAAATAAATTTGTTATCAAGCGGTAATTAAAAGTTCAACAGTAACAGAGACGAGAATTAAGATGTGGAAGGTTCTTACACTTGTTTCAAGTTAAGCAGACTCTTGAAAGTTGAAATGAGTTCCAGATACGATGTAGGTGTCACGTAATTGTGTCTTTTGAGTTCATCCTCGAACAACTTGGACAACTGTCTTGTTCCAGTGTGAAATGTCTTGCACATCTGAACACAACCACTCCTCACTTGTGGTTCTATTTCTAGGTCCTCCAAAAATCGCTGGGCTACCACCTGGAGTGCATCGTCTGGCCATGACTGGCAAACACAGAGGAATTAAAATGATTCAATT